CACCCACCTACTCATTCACTCACTCATTTACTTACTCACCCACCCACTCATTCACTCACTCATTTACTCACTTATCCACCCACTCATTCACTCATTTACTCACTCACCCACCCACTCATTCACTTACCTACTCATTTATTCAGCACTCATTCACTTACCTACTCACCTACTCACTCACCGACTCATTTACTTACCCATCCACTCACCCTCATTCATTCACCACTCTCACTTACCCTCTTACCTACTCATTCATTCACTTACTCACCCACTCATTCACTTACCTATTTTTTCATTCACCCCCTCATTCACTCACCTACTCATCCACTTACCCACTCATCCACTTACCCACTCACCTCATTCATTCATCCTCTTGTTCAGTTACCCACTCATTCATTCACTCACTCATCTATTCATTCACTTATCCACTCATTCACTCATCCACTCATCCATTCATTCATTCCCCCACTCATTCATTCACTACTCATTCATTTACTCACTTACCCATTTATTCACTCACCTAGTTATTCGTTCACCTCTCACTCACTCATTCATTCACCCATTCATTCCCTTACTCATTTACTCACCCACTCATTCGCTCACCACTCATTCACCCACTCACCCACTCATTCACTCACCTAATCATTCATTCACCACTCACTCACCTACTCTCACATACCCACTCATTCACATACCCACTTACCTATTTACTCACCTACTCATTTATTCACCACTCATTCACTTATCCACTCATTTGCTCACCAACTCATTCACTCACCCACTCATTCTCCTGCCCATTCACCTATTCATTTACTCACTCACTCATTTGCTCACCCATTCACTCACTCACTCATCTCCTCATTCGCTCACCCTCTCATTTGCTCACCCACTCATTCTCCTGCCCATTCACCATTCATTTACTCACTCACTCACCTACTCATTCGCTCACCCACTCCCTTATTCATGCACTCATCTACTTATCCATTCAGCACTCATTCACTTACTTATTTGCTCACCCACTCATGCAATTACCCACTCACCAGTTCATTTATTCACTCACTCACTTGTTCATTCCCCTGCTTATTTAGCCATCCAACAATGTTTATAAAGTATAATTGGGGAGTGAAACCTAGACCCTCCCTTGTAGGTGCTGACCCTTTAGTGGGAGAAAGACTGACAGGCTATAGATAAGGACTATGAGGACAGATAAAGCAGGGGAAGGAGGGCTGTTTGAGCAGACTTGACTGTTGGGAGGAGGGGGCCATGCCAAGGACCCCATACTGGAGTATCTTAGCCAGGAGCCCCACCATGAAGTTCTGACACAGGGGAAACCCTTGGCCCCTCCACCCTGCACCCTCCACTTCACCTCTTCTCCCTCCTTCCCTTCAGCAGACAGGCTCTGGAGAGTACCGGACACTGCGCAAGGGCTTCTCACCGTACCACTCGGAGTCACAGCTCGCATCCCTGCCACCCTCCTACCAGGACTCCCTACAGAATGTAAGTCACTGTCCCCCAAAGGACCCCAGATGCTCCAGATCCTAAGTCCTCAGGATCTATTCCATGTCCCAGAAGAGAAGGGCGAAGCTCCAACAAGCTAGTGAGGGCGCTGGGCCCAGGGATGGGCTGTGGCTGACTGGGACCTCATCCCCCTGCCTCTGCCTTTCACATCCTCTCAAAGGCACCCTGGCTCCTGGATGCTTGGGGACTTGTGCTGGCCCAGCACGGCAGTTAGAGGTGAAGCCCAAGTTGGGTGATACTGCTGAAAGCTCAGGGCAGTATCCACAGGCTACGTGAGCAGGCCTGCCCAGGTCCAGCCACTGTCCTTCATGGCAGCTCAGTAGCCTGGGTCACTTTTCGGACACAGTGGGTAAAATGCTTGGCTGGCCCTGGAGCTTGGGGGAATCACTCCCCTATGCTTTACACCCGAGGTGGTGGAAGAGCTGAAGTTCATGTTTACGTGCTGAAATCACCACCCAGAAGCATCCAAGATCATCCTCTAAGCTCTCCCTGGGCTCAGACCTGCCTGGATGGTGAGGGAGGGGTGGCTGGAGCCAGCTCTTGGGGGTGAATTCCTAGCTCAGTGTAGATGCCACCCTGAGTGACCACAGAGAGGGAAATGGGAGAAGAGTGATCATGGGGGTCTAGGCCCACTGCCTTCCTTACAGAGTGACCTCTGGGCAGTTCAGCTCCTCATCTGTTCCATGGGGACGGGCAGAATCCCTGCCTTATCATGGGTCCCATGAGCACACATGGAGCAGGCGCTCAGTAGCAGCGGTGGCTCTGGCTGGCATCACCTGCAGAGCGTGTGTGTGGAAGCACTGCTTGGGCAGTGAGACATTGCAGTGGCCACACCCCTTCCTGCTCCCAACCCTGCACTGACCCAGCAAGGATGACCTTGGGCCCTCTGGCAGAGAGGGCTGGGGCTCCCCTGCTGCCAGCCGGCTGTTGCCCTTCCCATTTCTCCAGGAATGTAGTGGTTGATGCTGCCCAGGCTGCAGAGCCCACCAACTGTGGGTAACCTAAATATTTACTAGGAGTTCCGTGGCTGAGCCAGGCTCCGATTGCTTCGTGAAGTCCTCTGGAAAGCCAAGTGATGACCCACGGGGGCTGGTCTTTGATCCCACATTCCCTCTGCCTTGTATTTCTTTTCCCTTCACGTGTTGTGATCTGACAGGGGAAGAGTAACAGCTAATGTTTATTGAGTGCTGGGCACTGAAGTCCTTGAAGTGGCCTACAAACTGTAAAGTACAGCCCTTCCTGTGAAGTACCAGGTCTGCTTGACATGGACTCACCATAGCAGGCCTCTTTAGAGAGGTACCAGTCTGTGGCCTGTTTGGAGGGAGGTGAGCAGCAGACGAGTGAGTGAAACTTCATCTGTATTTACAGCCTCTCCCCGTTGCTTATGTTACCATCTGAACTTACCTTTCATCAGATCAGTGGTGTCATTAGACTCTCATAGGAGTGCGAATCCTGTTGTGAACTGCACGTGTGAGGGATCTAGATGCACGTTCCTTAGGAGACTATAGTGCCTGGTGATCTGAGGTGGAGCTGGGGCGGTGATACTAGCACTGGGGAGTGGCTGCAAATACACATTATGGGGAGCTGTATAATTATTTCATTATATATTACAGTGTAATGATAATAGAAATAGAATGCACAAGAAATATAATGTGCTTTCATCCTAAAACTACCCCACCCTAATCTGTGGAAAAATTGTCTTCCACAAAGCCAGTCGCTGATGCCCAGAAGGTTGGGGACTATTGCTCTACACCACCTTCAGCATGAGGGGGCTAACTTCTTGCTTTGGAGAGGAGGAAGTGAGATTCATATAGGCCCTATGGTTAGCCGCACTGTGCCATATGGGCCTGGGGTCAGGGGTCAGCATGTGCTGTGGAGGGGTCCTTGCTGCATGAGGCTGGCGCTCTGCTCTGGGGAGCTGAGGGACAGGTACGCAGGCCCTGGGGGTGGGGTGTCTCATGAAGGGTCAGCAGCAAAGGCTGCAGAGGTGGCTGTAGTGGAGGGGCCTGGCTGGGTGAGGCCCAGAGGCCACACTTGGTTGGGGGGGTGGTCTCAGTGCTCTGTGGAGCCTGAGTGGGGCAAGCTGGCCCACATTGAGAGTGTGGGCAGGATGGGGGAGGGCTCTGACACCGCCCAGGGCACAGGTGTTTCCACATCTGGGCATTTTTCCTATTTCCTTTAGGTCCCCCAGGGGTCGTGGGCAGAGCATGGGCAGCTGGTTGAAGCAAGAGAGGGCTTAGGTAGAACAGGGGACTCTGAGGCCAGCAGGTGGCATGGTAGTTAAGGCGTTGGACTCCCACTTGGTCCACTGTGGTTCAAGTCCCGGACCTGGTGGCTTGCTCTCTCACTCCACCCTCTGCTGAGTGTGTGTAATGTAGCAAATGAGAAAAATAATAATAAACAAAATTAAATAAATAATTCTTGGGGAAAATAACGAACAGGAAACTCGAGTGGCATGCCCCTTCCTTCTGGCTCTCCCTGCCCCAACCCCTGCTGTCAGAGGTGGAGCCCCAGCTGGACCCCTGTGGAGGGTGGGAGGTGGTTTGGCAGGCTCCTGGGAGAAGCTGGTCTCCCGCTCACCCCTGACCCCCATTTTTTTTTTTTGCCTGTTGACTTTTTAAGCCTCTGACTCTGATTTTCAATATGTTCACGTTTGTTTGCAGAGCTGCACAGCCACTGAATAGAACCTCCCATCACAGGAAAGGCAGTGGTGTTCTGGGCTGGCACTCCCCCTTCCTCCTCCCCACCCATCCCCTGGCATGCCCTTCCCATTCCTCCTCTCCCGCAGCCTCTCCCTCCCCCTGGGTCTGCCTCCTGGGTACTTTGTGTGGATGGAATCACAGCACGTGTTTTAAGCTCTGTCCACACGGAGCCTGTGCCAGTCTTTGCTGTGTGTCCTGGCTGAGTCCTGCCCCTCGCGTGGCCAGGCTGCACTGTCTACCCCACTTCTGGGCACACAGGGCCGTTCAAGGCAGTGCCACCTTGTGGCTATCGTGAATGGATTTGTGTGGACGAGTATTTTGTGGATGTTTATTTTCTGTTCTTTGGGGTGTACAGTGCCTCTCCACTTGTGGCCCAGCCCTAAAGTCCCACAGACCAGGGTTCGAGGCCCAGCCCCATCGCTTAGGGGCTGTTTGGTGCCATTCCCTCAGCATCACTGTCCTTGTCTGAAACAGGTGGGTAAGAGGGGCGCTCCTACACCGCTGTCAAAGCACTTGGGCTGGCCTGGCCTGGGCGCTTGACTGTGTCCTCACTGGGATCGTGAAGTGTGTGGCCTGCGGGCAGGAGAGGATGAGAGGCTCTGGTGCAGCTTCAGGGGTGCCTTCTGGCGGGGAGCATCCGGAGGTAACAGCGCTGGCACTAGCCTCAGTGTGTCAGTCACTCCTGACGCATCTTTTGTCCAGTTATGGGTCATTTTCAGAATCCCAGGCCATCCCCTTGCTGCAGCCACAGTCCAGGCGAGGGGGGTGGCTACCCTCCTGCCTTTGCTCCTGGAATTGGCCTGAGCTGGGGTGTCTTGCAGAGTGAGGCCTGGTACAGATGGGACACGAGTCCAGAGTCTCCAGGGACAGCTGGGACATGCTGTCCCCTGGAGGGCCCATGTGCTCTCCACCAGGAGGTGCCCCGCCTCACACTGGAGCCTCCCACGGCAGTTCGCTTGTGGCTGGTGCCCCCTGCTGGCCCTCGGGAGGAATGCGGCCTCCTGTCACCGCCCCAGGAGAACCCTAGTCCCTGGATCCGGCACCAGAGACCTGGCAACCTGGGTTGAAGTCAGGGGAACAGCCATGAGCAGGGCAGCCTGCGAGGCCCTTGGAGTGCGTCCAGGCCAGGGTGGGTGGGAGGAGTGCCCAGGGCATGGTGGCCAAGCTGGTGGAAGGTTCTAGGCACTGAGGGTGACCCAGAACCTTGTGGACTCTGGCGCAGTCCTTGGTTGGGTGGGATTCCAGGGTAATGGTCCCGCCAGTCCAGCGGGGTTGGTGAGAGGAGTCACCAGGGTCCCCGTTTACCAGAAGGAAGCTGTTTCCAAGGTGGGCCCCAGGTTGCCAGTGTGGTCCTGTGATGTCCTGGGTACTCAGCTCCTCGGCCTTCCCCCTGTGCCCCCTGGCTCACTGGGTGTGCTGCTGCTTTCAGTTCAGCCTCGAAGGTTGCTGGCTTGCCTCGAGCCCACTCCCAGTGTCTCATGACCTCCAGGCTCCTGCTGGGCCCCAGGTGCCATCTCCACCCGTGAGGCTTCCTGCTTGAGCCCTCTCTGCAGCCCAAGGCAGGACCCTGCATCCTGATGGGAGGCAGGCAGGGCCTACTGCCCTGGGCGTTCGCTTGGCTTCTGACAGGCTGGGGCCTCCTCACCTGGCCTCAGCACCCCCTTGCCCTGATGTGGGAGCTAGTTTGTCCCCCAGGGTGCTGGGACAGGGCTCGGGGTAAGGGCTCAGGGCGGACTGGAAGGAGGTTCCCAGCTCACTGCTGGGCACTGGGGCGGGGCACAGGCCATGGAGTCAGGCTGAGTCGGCTGCACCTGCACCCCCTTGTGGTGGGTAGTCTCACCTTCCCTGAGCTACACTCGCTTCTTCTGCAAAATAGACCACAGATTTTTTTTTTTTTTTAAGGTTTAAATTTTGCCAGAGGGCATGCGTGCTCACAAGTGACAGAGGGAGAGGGGAAGAAAGCACCCCCTAAGGGTGTGGTCACGCTGCAGTCCCTTCTCCATCTCTCCACCCTGTTGGGATTTGGGGCACACACACATGCACACCTGGTGTGTTTTCAAGCCACCAGGACTGGGGCTCCAACTGCAGTTGGCCATGTGGGATCCAGCTCTCTTAACCACCGGACCACCAGGCCAGCCCGACAGTGGATTTCACATGGGCGGCAGTAGGGGAGCCTGCAGGTGTGGGACCATTCTTGCTTCTGTCTTGCAAGGGACCATTTTATCTGCAGGAAAGCTGGTGTGGTGGGAGGAAAGGACATCAACCAGGTGAGACAGGGTTCCTCGGGGTCGTCATCATACCGGCCTCCTCTCCCTGCAATGCACCAGACCCTGTTTCCTCTTGCCTGGGCCTCAGCCCCAGAGTCAGGACTGAGCTGCTGGGTGTACCAGTGGCCACCACCTGGAAGCCAGCCAGGTGGGTGGACGTGTGACTTCTCCCCACAGGGCCCGGCCTGCCCTGGACCTGAGCTGCCCTCGCCCCCGTCCGCTGGCTACAGCTCTGCAGGACAGAAGCCCGAGGCTGTCGTGCATGCAATGAAGGTGAGAGCTGCCGCCCACTGCCCAGGAGCCCCGGGCGCTGGCACACTATGGGACAGGGCCGTGTGCCTTTGGTCCTGTGTATGTCCTGTGGGGGCTGCCTGGAGCACCATTAGGGAGGGATTCAGAGACCCAGGAGGCGGCCACGTTGGGATTTGGGGCACACACACATGCACACCTGGTGTGTTTTCAAGCCACCAGGACTGGGACTCCAACTGCAGTTGGCCATGTGGGATCCAGCTCTCTTAACCACCGGACCACCAGGCCAGCCCGACAGTGGATTTCACATGGGCGGCAGTAGGGGAGCCTGCAGGTGTGGGACCATTCTTGCTTCTGTCTTGCAAGGGACCATTTTATCTGCAGGAAAGCTGGTGTGGTGGGAGGAAAGGACATCAACCAGGTGAGACAGGGTTCCTCGGGGTCGTCATCATACCGGCCTCCTCTCCCTGCAATGCACCAGACCCTGTTTCCTCTTGCCTGGGCCTCAGCCCCAGAGTCAGGACTGAGCTGCTGGGTGTACCAGTGGCCACCACCTGGAAGCCAGCCAGGTGGGTGGACGTGTGACTTCTCCCCACAGGGCCCGGCCTGCCCTGGACCTGAGCTGCCCTCGCCCCCGTCCGCTGGCTACAGCTCTGCAGGACAGAAGCCCGAGGCTGTCGTGCATGCAATGAAGGTGAGAGCTGCCGCCCACTGCCCAGGAGCCCCGGGCGCTGGCACACTATGGGACAGGGCCGTGTGCCTTTGGTCCTGTGTATGTCCTGTGGGGGCTGCCTGGAGCACCATTAGGGAGGGATTCAGAGACCCAGGAGGCGGCCACAGGTGCATCACTCACCTGCCACCCCTGAGCCACTGTAGTTGGGGGAACTGAGGCCTGGGGCGAGGGAGGGCAGCCACGTCCCCTAAGGTTAGAAGGTTGGGACGGGGAGGGCCGAACTACAGCTCAGATCTCCCAGGTGTAGCCTCCAGCCTCTGGGTGCAGACGGCAGGCCCCCAGGAGGTGCTGCAACTCCTGGGTGTGTGTGCACCCTGAGCGGTGTCCCCTCCATGCCCCTCCTTCCTGCCCATGCGTGTGCCTGTGGCTCCTGCCCTCTGGCTGTGCCAGAGCCCACTGCTCGCCAGCTCCTGGCCTGGGCTGGAGTGAGCCCACTGTCTGAGGGTCATCCCCTCATTGTCACTCTTCCCCCAGGTGACCTGTCCGCAGTTTGGCTCTAGCCGTGGTGGGGTGCTGCCTCGCGTGCATGTTGTCCGCAGTGTCCCTGGGTGAGGAGACTAGGCCTGTCTCAGGGCCCTCAGCTCCAGACAGCAACAGGGACGCTGAGGCTCGGTAGTCAGGAGTCCAGGAGGCTAACCACCAGTGGCCTCTGCCCCTGACTCTGGGACTGTCCCCTTCAGGTCCTGGAGGTGCACGAGAACCTGGACCGGCAGCTCCAGGACAGCTGCGAGGAGGACCTGAGCGAGAAGGAAAAGGCCATCGTCCGCGAGATGTGCAACGTGAGGCCCTGCCCAGGGTGGGACAGAGGCTGGCCCTGGGTGTGACCATGGTCACACCTGCTCAACTAGGGCCAGGTGGCCTGGATGGCCGGGGGGAGGCTTTGGGGGCTGCAGGAGCCCTGGAGTGACCACTTGTCCCACTCCAAGGCCTCGATCTTTCTGCAGATTGGGGAAGCGCCCTGCATGGGGTTCTGAGTGGAGCCTGAGCTCCCCACCGGCTGAGGACTGGTCTTATTCATGACAGGTGTTTATCCCCTGGGCCCCTGGATGGCTGACTTGGGCCTCCTAGCTTGCTGGCACTCCCTGGTGGCTGATAGCCAGGCAGGTGGTGCTGAGCTGGGGGCACAGGTGGCACCCTCCAACCCGCAGCCTGCCAACGTGAGGTGGCCTTTGTCTCTGGAAGCTGGGCTGCTCACGGGTCTGCCATGAAGAGCCGCCTTCCTGCTCATCTGACCATCTGGCGCCTCTTGGGGCCCTTGCAGGGGCTGGCGTGGTCTGCTTCTGGGCACAACAGGTCTTGAGTTGTGACCCTCCTCCCGCAGTGCTGTCTGAGTCCATGGTGCCCAGACAGTTGCCAGGCTGAGCCCGTACTGCAGCAGGAGTGTGGCAGCCTGGGAGGCGCTGTACGGAGACTTGGTCTGAGTGTCTTGCGCCTCCTGCGGCCTGTTTCCCCTCCTGACAGCACGGCTCTGAGGCTGCAGGTGATCTGCAGAGCGGTGAGGCAGTAGTGTGACAGGCCAGTGGGTGGGCTCGAGGGGAGCCCCCACTGACACCACACCTCTCCCACAGGTGGTATGGAGAAAACTGGGAGACGCCGCCAGCTCAAAGCCGTCCATCCGGCAGCACCTGTCCGGGAACCAGTTCAAGGGGCCTTTGTAGGGCTGCTCTTCTGCGGACTGGACTGGCTTGCCTGGGGCCTCCTGGGAGCAGGCCCCGACATGGGCAGGACCCCAGCCGAGCCACTGTATTTGTTCTCTGTGGGGATTGTACATAGGACAAGCCACCCTGGCCCGGCTTTCTCGGGTTCACCACGCTGACGGCTACACCTCCATCTCCCACCTCTGACACCAGCAAACTGGGAAGACGAGACGCCGCCAACTGTCTGTGTGGTACAGAGGCCCGGGCCACCTCATTCCCTCACTGGGTCCTGGGCCCCAGGCTCCATGGCTGAGTCCAAAGGCCACTTCTGGGATGCCAGCCCCAGGGACTGTCCCAGGATCCTGTCTCATCCTTGATGGAGAGACATTGTACCCAGCCCGACACCTGGCTGCTACCGCCCCAGGCACATGTCCCCACGCCACTCCTACATCTGGATGCCGGTGGCAGTGGACCTGGCCCGGGTCCTGGCTCGCTGGGCTGGGCCTGCAGGGTGGACAAGGAGGCGCGCCGTGCCATGGCTGGCCCCTGGGCTGGGCCTGCAGGGTGGACAAGGAGGCGCACTGTGTCATGACTGGCCAAGGCTCTGGGCTGTCAGGCCCTTCCTCTGACCCTCAGCCCTGGGAGCTCAGGGTCCCCTTCCAGCCTGTGGTCTGTGCCCAGCCACCCTGATTCCAGCTGCTGTTTGTTTTAGGGTTCTCCCCCACACACACGCTCTGCAGTGTACCCCCTGCACTAGGCTGTGCCCTGGCTTTTCAGGTTCCCCTTGCCGAGTATAAGGCATGTCCCTTCCTGTGGTTTACAACTGTGGCTAGGGATCGGAAAGGTCACCCATGTCTTTCCAGCCATGTAGCACTGGGCCTCACTGGACCTCCGGTCAGCCAGGCACCCTGCAGGGCTGGGCACATCCTGGGTCACTGTGGACAGAGGTGCAGGGTCACAGGTGAGATTTCTTCCTCCTTAGGAAGGAGCCGGATTTGGTTCTGTCTGTAATTTGCTGTGTGACCTGCAACAAGTCACACGGCCTCTCTGGGCCTGGGCCCTGGTGGAAGAACGAGGTCCCTGCAGGTTTGTGCAGCCCTGCTCACTGTTAGTGGCTCTCCTTGTGTCCTCGCTCACAGCCTGTGATCCTGGAGGTTTCCTGGTGGAGAGGTCCCTGGGAGGGCAGAAGGGCAGAGCCCAAGTGCAGGCTGAGTTCTGCGGCCTTGCTGTCTCACTGCAGGTGACTGTCACCTCCCCTCAGCCTCTGTCCTCAGCTGTACAGTGGGCGGCAAAGGCCCTTCCTACAGGACTCTGGGGATCAAACGAGTCTCAATGTAAATGACCACGTAGGAACTGTAAAGAGTGCTGGATGAGCTTTTAAATGTGTGTGAGGAAAAGGAGGCCCAGAGGGGGGCTAAGTGGTTTTGTGGCATTGCAGGTGAGATCCCAGAACCCGTAAGGGCAGGCCATGTTCAGTACTCACTAGCACTGTCCCCAGTCCCCACTCCATGAGCTGTCTTTCTCTCCCAGGCACTCAGCTTCCTGCAGCCAGTGCTTCTGGAGCTGAGGCTGTCTGCATACCCAGCAGGTCTTGTTCAGGCCCCAGGGCAGGACAGGGACCAGGCCCTGGGGACCGAGGGTGGTGGCTGCTGCCCCTGCGTACGTACTCAGGGGAAAGGCTCATGGCCCTGGTTGTACCCAGGCAGCGCTGAGCGGGCTCTGGGAGCAGGCATGGGTGTGCTGCTCTGGCAGGGAGCGTTCCCAGTGGCTCTTTGCAGCAGGAGCTTGCCGTCTGCCACAGTGGCGGCGCTGGTCAAGGTGTTGGGCAACTCCTGCCGGTGCAGGCAGCAGAGGCCCCCGCAGGTCTGGGAGTCCAAAGAACTGCAGAGCAGCCCAAGGGGTGGTGGGTTCATTCAGGTGGGAGCCACATGGTCAGGCTGGTGTGGCCACCACTGAAATAGCAATAAGTGGGCTCTTGGGGTCTGCAGGTGTGCAGACTGGCTCAGGGACAGCTCGGAGCCACTTTCCCCTGGGGGTGGCGACGCATGCCTAATGCTGCAGTGGCATCTGGGTGTCGGTGGTGGAGCACTTCTTTAAGAAGAATCCTCCTGCCTGGGACAGAGGCAGCACACCAGCTGGTTCCCCTGAGCCAGCACGCCGTTTGGGTGGCTTTCTAGGACAACTGTGCCTGTGACAGTCACGTCTCGGATGTCAGAGCTGACTAAAACGCTGGCCAGCTGCCTTTCCTGTGACCTGGCAGTTGCAGGCAGCCATGGCTGGGATCAGACAAGGCCTCCCAAGAGGGCATCCCGGAGGCCTCAGCTCAGGGGCAGTCCCAGCTCTGCCACCAGAGTGATACTGGGCAGCCCCAGTGGGGCTGTAGCTCTGAAAGCCACCAGGGCAGGGGGACATCTTTCCAGAGGCCTCGTTCTATCTCAGATGCTCCGATTCTAGATCTGGAAGCCCATCGTGCGGCCTGCACACTGGCTTCAGTTCCACGGAGACCCACCACCCTCCAGTCCCAGCCCAGGTGGCCAGGCCCATCCTGAGCCAGAATCCGCTGTGCACATTTTAAGGGCGGCACATTTTACCCAGAAGTTACTAGCTACACATCAGTGTTTAAAGAGAATAAAGTGACCTTTCATTTTTTCTTCTTGAAACTTGAGAGGAAGCAAGATACATACTACTGATTTTTTTTTTTTTTATGAACTGAACACATGACTGCGGGGCGCCACTGGTGTCTATTTTCATACTGTGGGGAAGTGAGCGTGCCGCCTGGGACAGGCTGAGCTGCCGCGTGCTCTGCGACTGCCCAGCGAGACCTGGAGCCAGCCCTCCCACGTGGCTCTGGGAATCCCGGGCCGTTTCTACCTTCTGTTGAACCACTTTGGGGGGAGGGAGAAAGAGAACTTTTTGATAGTGTGGTAAAGACGTTGATCTGAACTATTTTAGTAAAGAACAGACGTGATAGTGTATACTTTGAGCTAGATAAATAAAGGCCTCTTTCCAAGCCTCCTGGCTGCGTGCTCAGTGGATGTCTCGGCGGGTGGCGGGGTCGCCAACAGGGCTGCAGCCCCCATGCACCAGGTGGGCATTCACCTGGCACTGAGCCCTTTCTTGGACAGCAAGGCCTGGTCCCACAGGGCAGAGGTCACCTCTAATCACAGGCCAAAAATGGAGGATCTGTAAGCCAAGTGCTTGTCTTAACTTGGGAACTCTGTTCTCTGCATGGGTGTTTGGAAGTTCCAACCTAGCCTGGAATTCAGTTTGTCCCTCCTAAGAAAACCAAGGTGGGTGGTGGGGCTGCGGCAGGCTGACCCTTGGGGTTGCTGCCCCAGCCCACTGAGGGGTGCTTGAGGGGAGGTGGGCTTCGTCCTGCAGGCAGCTGACCCTGGAGTCGAGAAGGACGTGCTCTGGAAGAGTCGCACTTGGGCCTGCTGACAACCACAGCCCACCTTCTGCCCAGAACCAACACGCTGGTAGTTCCAGAACTGAGTTTATTTGGATAACTGAAGGAGTCTCATGTAACCAAGATGGAGTTCACAGTATGTTGTTACATTCACACTTAAAAATATCTCTCTATGTACAGGGATTTGCAAAGAGATGTAAACATACATTACTTTCCAAGTACATTTCTCCTCTTTCATGGAGGGAAAACAAAGCCATCCAACAAAGGCCACCCCACCCCTTCAAAGTAATGTCAATACAAAGTGTGCAGGTATCTGTAAATCAAATTGGGTTCCTCTGGCCTGCTGCGTGTCATGGGAGAGGAAATCACTGAATGAAAACGATGACAGTGTGACTTTTCATGGGACTGGACTGTTTACAATGGAGTTTCCAGGAAAAATAGGCACTGATTTCTAGAAGGAAATTCACTCCTTACTGTGGCTGTTTATTGAGCCAATATGGCTGGTTACCGTTTCACTAGTTGAAGTCACCCAGTGCAGAACTCCTGCAGCGTAGCTGAAACCACGTGTACAGTCTGCAGTGACACTGCCAGGCCACGCAGAAATCCAGCTGTCCCCCTCCAGTGAGCACCACCCCACCTCAGCTCAGGGGGCCGATCCCCTCTTTCCAACTGCAACTGTCTAGCATTATACAAGGTACCCTGCTGCTCAACCTCTGCTCTACTCAAGTCAACAGAAAAAACTCTTGTTTAAAAACAAAGGGAAAAGGCATCAGGTTATCTCATCCAGGCCGCCCGGCCCAGCCCTCCAACTGGAGGCATGCCGGGTGGGGGGATGGGAGGGGGCACAGGTGGCTGTCCTCCAGGGGGGACAGCAGGAGGTGGGTAGCTAGCCGGTGGCAGA